TCAAAACACTTCGAATGCACAGAAAGGGAAGAGAGCATGAAAGAGGGTGGAACTCGAAACCACAGAGCAAAAAGCCAAGAGACCTCACCCCCCCTTTTTTTTAACGAGGGACGTATATGTACACGTGAAGCATTAAATTCACGATAGGCAAATGACAGGACACGCCACAAAAGCCGTATCCACGAGCTCACCCGATGGTGACACGTGCGCATTGTCGTCCCATCATCGCAGACAAACGGTGGCATGGTCCAATCTTGATCAAAACCAATAGCCAGACACAGTCATCACTCCGAAAGCCCAGAACACTCCCAGTAAAGTCATTTTTAACCCTAGGCCAGAAATGGTAACATCTCCATGACCTGGGGCTGGGGGGCAACTGATGTGGACGAAATTCACGGCCAAGGCCTTGATGGCCCAGAAGCTTGACCAGCCCAAGAGGTCCGAAGTAGAAAAGCGGGACCTGGCATCGGCAAAAAGCCTATAGCCCAGCAGTCTAGGTCCAGCCCAAACCATAAAGCGATTTGGAGAGTAAAAGCCCACTCCAAGGTATTTCTGGATGAGCAAAGGGGACCACGCATCTAGGGGGACCACCCCTGACACTTGCGGCAATCTCAGAGAAGGTGGAGCACCAAGCCGCCAGAGATCATGGCAACAGCAGCGCCGGGTGAACAAGGACGCCAGATGAACAATGACCATAGTGGCAGAAGGGGGTTAGAAGAAAGGACAGCTAGAGGCCCTAGGAGAAGTTGGTATAAATGGATAATGATAAGAAGAGGACTGGATCTTTCCCAAAAAAAAAAAAAATCAAGGAACATTAGAGAGCAAAATAGCATAGAAAGTTGAGAGTGAATACCTAGATAATCATTCTTTGTAAGTGGACCCTGAGTCCCAAGTAATTAGAGGCACTTTGCCGACCGATGAATATACAATCCTAGCGAGCAAAAGACTCCGTTGATAGTGGATGTATCCTTAGTCCTTCAGCTAAGGTAAACCACTTGTATTTCTTGTCTAACTGTTCATAAAAGTTTAATCCATCATCTGCAAAACCATTTTCATAACGCCATCAAACCTTAGTTGGGCTTGGGCCACAAATTCCGACCACCATCAATAACCGACCAACATAAAAGATGATAACGACTACCCCTTTCATCCTTTGCAACTTGCTTAAAGATACTTTTTGGTATTATATACTAATCTTAAATCAAAAGCTATATGATGAATTAATCTAACTGATAATTCAAGTGATAGTAGAAATGAATTATAAACTTAGGCGTCATAAGTTCGAATTTTGATAATTTTTTTAGGTCAGGTCATGAAGAGATTTATTTCTTATGAATACATTAGTTCCGGAGTGGATGACCTACCTTTGATCGGAGTGAGAAAATAATTAGTCGAGGTGTGCGTAAGTTAGTCTAAATACCCCTTAACCATTGAACCCAAAAATTAACATTATATTTTATCCCTATTGACGTAACTAATTCCTAATTATAGTAAGTATCGATTAGAATTCAGCATTGTCAAAGAGGCCAAAAAACAACTACTTTGGTGAAAGTGACTCCTACCCATTAAACGTCCATTTTTAAGTCCAAAAGAATTGGTAAGCACCTGGAGGGTTATGACCACCACCTAATAAGTACACCTAGATAGGATTGGATTAAGGGTTGGTAGCAGGTGGTTCTTATCAAAGTCGCAGCAAACTACCGTGTCAAAAATGTCATCTCATCGTTTCTAAAAATTCACGTTAAATGTTTCTGACAGATTGAGGGAACCATACAATCTTAATAAGAACAAAAATCTTTGTTTATATAAAAAAAAGAGACCCCCTAATGAAAAAGGGGATTGAACCATCTATAATCACTTTTTTCTACTTCCTCAAGCAATACGACGAACACAAAAACAAAAGACTCCATACACAGTGAACTAACCGAGTTGTTCAACTTGATAAACCACTTAAATTCCTGTCTATTTCATTGATTTTTTGTAGATCATCCAGGTCACTTACATGCATCATAACATTGCACTCCAATTCCTCTGTTTCTTGCACCATCACAAATCAATGCTCTTGATAGGACTAGAACAGTTGCGTAACAGAGTATGCGAGATGTATCCTAAAAATAATTTAATACATAAAAAAATAGGGTTAATATTAACTTACACCCCAAAAGATCACTCAAATCTCAATTTATACCCTCAAAATTTAAAAATATTAATTTACACCTAGAAAGACATAAATTTGTATTAATGTGCACTTAAGGTTAACTCCGTCCATTTTGCCATTAAAAAAGTTTAGGCTAATTATAAATTGTACCCCTCAAAATTTAAATATTTCTTATTTATGATCCAAAAAGAATTTTGTCAATTAATGCTCGTTAAATAGTTCTTAATTGTATCGTGTCATAAAATCTTTGTGTCATGTGTTCGAGTCAATAAAAAATATTTTTCAAAATTTTAAAAAATTATAAAATGCCTATTTTTGGCCTACAATACTTGTTAAATAATTATTTTCAATCTACAGTTAGACACAAATTTTAGATTTTTCGATCAAATTAAAGTTAGATACGAATAACACAATTGTAAATAGAAAATAGTTATTAACGAATATTATAGACAAAAAATATATATTTTTTAAATTTAAAAAAATATTAAATAGTATTATATAAATTATCGTAACTATGAAATATATGACACAATGTAATTGACTCGACATAAAAATATTTTTTTATTGACTCGAACACAACACAAAAAAGTTATGGCATGATACAATTGACAACTATTTAGCTAGCATTAGTGGTTGGAATTCTTTTTGAAACATAAATGTGAAATATTTAAACTTTGAGGGGTATAATTTATAATTAATCTAAACTTTTTAACAACAAAATAGATGGCCGTTAGTCCCAATTAAACATTGATATGTATTTATATCTTTTAGGGTATAAATTAATATTTTTAAACTTTGATGATACAAATTAAAATTCGTGCGATCTTTCAAACTGTAAGTTAAGATTAGTCCTAAAAAATATCCAATCTATATAGAATGGGAAGACAATATTTGGTCAAGGGATTGATTGTTATTCTAAAAGACCCGGATACTTGCGCCATTTGAAAAAAATAAATAAATAAATAAAAGATGATGAAACATGGAAAGGAACTGCCATTATGGACAGATTCTTTTGTATCTTATAATTGGATTTCTTCCCAAAAGTTGTGCCATTGATTAGGATAAGTTCACCGCTTGTAGCTATGACATATTTATTATATAAGATTCCAACAAGACATAAAAGATGGTATTTTGTCTTATTCTAATCATAAGCCCTTTCAATTTAATAGCTGTGATTTTGGATTTTCCCATCCTTTCTTCAAGAACACAAATAATGAAATATGTCCAAATCAACGCCTCAGAATGCTTTATTGTTAAATTCCATGGAAAAATCATTAAATTTTTTTTACTTTCATTTTTGTTTGGGTCAAAAAATCGATGGCCACTCTGAAATCTACAATAAAAAATCTGGGTTCAATCATTTATCAAGGCAAAAATTGATTTCTCACGTCTTAAACTTTGGGAGTTTTATTCTTCTTCTTTTGCCGGCTTTTCTCTCATTTATTTTATTAGGGGTAATTTATGCCTGAAAGTATGGTACAATATGAATGATTTTGAGAGGGATGTCGATGACTATTGATAAATCTATTTGAGACTGTTAGATGGACATATTGAAGTCTGTCACATTTTATGTTATAGATTATAATCATAATCCTAATGTGCTTTATTGTTTTATATAAGGGTGACACATGCACAAATGTAATTGTGAATCAAATAATTGAGCCTAATTTAGCTAGCCACCATTAATACAGTTTCTATCAAAAAAAACATGAGGGTCAATTTTTATTTTTTATTTTTTATTTTTAAAAAAGAGATTGTAATAATAATTGATCCATTGCATATAAAAAAATCAAGAGTAAACTACATATATGACCTCAAATTATGATTTTTGTGTTAATTAAGTCCCTTATTTTATTTTTTTTGGTGTTAATTGAGTCATTTTGTCTATCTCCGTTTGAATGTGTCACTCATGTAACTATATGACATAAAAATACAAAATGACTCAATTTACACAATTAAAGAGTTCATCGGCTCAATTGAGACAAAAATAAAAATTAAAATTAAAGACTTAATACAAGAGTCATACTTTGAAGACCATTCTCTTGTATTTCATGCCTTCCTCTTGAATTCTGTAACAAAATCAGAGAGATAGACACCTATTATAGAGAATTAGTGGTCTAGCTGTATTACTAAATCAGTTCTTTCCCCCACCTTTTACTCTAAGAGTTTATGGACTCAATTGACACAAAAAAGACTTAATTAATACAAAGATCATATATGTAATTTTTTCTAACTATTTATGTCACTTTCCATTAAAAAATCTAACGGAGGCACACAAAAAAAGGTACAATTGACACAGTTAGAGAATTTAGGTGCTTAATTGATACAAAAATAAATTTTAAAGGCTTAATTGACATAAAAATACTGTTTAAAGGTCATATGTATAATTACTCAAAAATAATCAACTAGTGCATTTAATCATTAGTAATGATTCATTACTTTCCCGGTGAGAACATTCAAATTACACTTCCATCCCCAGCCAGAAAAAGGAGATTCCGCAAGGAACGCTTTTTAAGATCTTTAGCATTCCTACATATTTTTCAACTTTTTTTGGGGGTCATCAATCAATTCATCAAAACAAAAACAGATTCCGTATATTTAAAGGCGACGAATCTTGGCTTTCTGTTACATTTTGAAGTCAACAGAGGCTCCACTCCATACCCATCCTAGCAAAAGCTGGCTAATCTTTTCCTCTACTCTCGATAAGGTCTCTGTTCTTCATACATATTTTATTATCTTCTTGGGTATATATATATATATATATATATATATATATATATATATATATATATATATATATATATATATATATAATGCTGCACTGGTTGTGGCTTCATTCATTTGAATTGTTTCTTGGCATTTTTGTTTTGACAAGTTCACAATTTATAAAGTGGGTCGTTTTTCATTTTTACATTCTTGCAAGATTTTGTATCTGTTTTGGAATTGCTATTGTTCGTGGTAAGTTTGGAGACGAAACCCAGTTCAAGTTAGTGTTGTATTGGGTATAATCAGTTTGCTAGCAACTCCGTTATTGATAGTTTTGTTATAAACATTTTTCACAATATGATAGTTTTATGAATCTTTTTTGTTTTTATATATTATGTTTCTGGTTTGTGTATAAGATTTTTCTGCATATCTGTTCGGTAATGTCAATTGTGGTGGGCATTTTATATGCCTTGAAATTTGAAAACTTCCGGACATGGAGGAGGAGAATGGCAGATCTTTTAAGAAGAATATGAATCGAAAAAAGAAATTTTTATTGGTTCTACGTCCTTTTTTCTTTTTTTTTTATGAAGAGAATGAATCTTTTTATCGAAGCATTTGAAAAAAATGGGTATGGATTTCCGGTGGGAATGATTTGTTAACATCACACAGAGACGACGTGTCCTTCACTCAAGTTAGGCTTATTCTTCTCCAAAAACAACTACCACACCCTAACAAACCTTTACTTCTTCTTCTTCTTCCTCAATAAATACTCTGTTATTTGTTTTTCATCAAAAATTTATTTTTGAATTGAATGTGAGAGCTGATTTTCTAAATTTACATGTTCAAATCAGTATGAGTTTTTCCTATTTTAGTTTAACTTCTTTATAAAGATTTATAAAGTCTAGAATCTTTCCAATTAGACAACCTGATCATGTCCATACCGTCAACTGATTATTTACGATTTATGATTCTCAAAGATTTCGATTTCCGACACGAATTTCGATTTAATAACTATGGAGATTATAGTTAATATTCTCACTTGGGTACACTAACAGTCTCATAGGATCATTATGGGATTCTCTGGTTTTTTATTTCTTATTTTTCCTTCTGAAATTCCATAGAAGGAGTCAAATCTATAGACTGAGGATGATATTTATTATGGTACAAATTCTTATTACTTAGTTTCAGACTGTGAGTGATACTTACAGACGAGCAGCCATGACTATTGCTGATTCAAGTGCAACTCCAACCAGGCTAGAGGTTTGTGACTGCCTTTTTGACATTGATCTTAACAAGAAAGGGACCATTTTTTTTTCCAATAATATGGATTTGTGTTGTTCAATCTTCTTTAAATTTCAGGGAAAGTACAGCGCAATGGTAGTTTGTTGGATTCTTGGACTCGGATCCCTAATCGCATGGAACAGCATATTGACAATAGGAGACTACTACTATGCAGTGTTCCCAGTATGTATCTTGTTGTTAAAATTCCATTCTTGTTATAGCTGCACGTAAGTTACCTTGCAGCTCCTCTAAAGTTCAGTCCATTTCAAGCAATTTGATCCTGTCTTTTTCTGACTTTTCAGTCTCCAATTTACTGAACTTTTTATGGTTGATTAAATGTTAATTTTATATATGGCTTCTCTGAATATTGACATGTTTTAGATTGGAGAACTAGTGTCCGTTTGTAGACCAAAGGATTGCAAGTAGGAGTAGCCAGTTTTGGAATCATGAATTTTGCTTGAGTATGTTTAAGCTTTCTGTGAATTAATTCATATGCCAACAATATGCTTCTGGATGCCAGATAATGATGCAGTTTCCTCTTCTGTGACAGCTGAAAATATATTTCGGATTCTGAAGCAATTATCTTTCTTATTTCCCGAACAATATAATGGAGAATGTCCCAAACATTATATTAGCAGGCTAAATTGATATACAATTGAATGTCACTGCATCATATATTAAATATAGTGAATGATTCCATAAATTGGGTTCGGAATATTCATTGGAAAATCTCCTCAGCATTCATTTGTTTATTTTTTACTATGAAGCGGTACCATCCTGAAAGGGTACTCACCATCGTTTATCAACCTTTTGCACTTGGAACAATGGCAACACTTGCACATTATGAGGCAAAGATTGACACTAGGCGACGTAATATATTTGGGTACATTCTTTTCTGCTTGGGTACTTTGTCACTGCTACTTGTAAGTATTGCCACTGCTCCACTTTCCACAATCTGGTTTTTGTGATTCCAAATGCTTCTTGGTTACAACCAATCTGACCTCATTCTGCTTCCAATTTTTTGAAAGTTGGATTTAGCAACATCAGGGAAAGGCGGGATTGGAAACTATATTGGTGTATGTGTTCTTGTTAGTTCCTTTGGAGTTGCAGATGCCCATGTTCAAGGTGGGATGGTCGGAGATCTATCCTTCATGTGCCCTGAATTCATGCAGGTAAAGTTTTTCAAATGTTTTCCTCTTTCGTTTTGCTCGATAACCTCTTCCTTCATTCCTAGATATTTGGATCACCTACTTACCTTATGAATATTCATGTTGTGTTTTTGCAGTCCTTTTTAGCTGGTTTGGCTGCAGCAGGGGCCCTGACATCTGCTTTGAGGTTAATCACAAAAGCGGCCTTTGACAAATCTGATGATGGTCTTCGCAAAGGAGCTAGTAAGTGTTCTTTCCAATAATCGACAAAATTTTAAATATCTGTCGTCTATTGTCTTAACTGAAACTGATGTTTAGCTCTTGGGTTAGTCTTCTCTTAGAAACCCATCCAAATTTCTGATTTCTTTGGAAATCCTTCTAAGCATGCTTTGATGTCATTTCTAAACAATTTATTCTCTTCGTATTTTACAATTGTTTACTGTATAAGATTCCATAGGACTAGGATATATACACAAAATGTAATCCATCCTGAACTTCAGACTTTTGTCTATTAAATCCTCATCATGGTCTTTGCAGTGCTGTTCCTTGCCATCTCCACTTTTTTGGAGTTTCTATGCATTCTTCTGTATGCATTCTATTTTCCTCGATTACCTATCGTGAAGTATTACCGTACAAAGGCAGCCTCAGAAGGATCAAAAACTGTTTCAGCTGACCTTGCTGCTGCTGGCATCCAAACACAAGAAAGTGTAATAGTACGTCAATTTTTCCTGATTTCAGAAATCACTATGTTCAAGAAGTTAATGTACTCCGGACTTTATCAAAAAAATTTTGCTACCTTTTCAGGCTGGTGCTAAAGACTCGGAAAACTTGAGCCACAAGCAATTATTCTTACAGAACATAGACTATGCGATAGCTCTGTTTTTGATATATGTCGTAACTTTATCAATCATCCCTGGGTTCTTATATGAAAACACTGGAACACATAATATGGGCACATGGTAAGTGCTCAACTGTGATGAAAACTCCTTAAAGAGCTACTTAAAGGTTGAATCTGTCTTCATGCGGGATGAAATCCCAATTTTCCGGTTCAAATTGCATAAGAAAGTTCATTTTTTGTTGCATTCCTAATGTCACCTCAGGCACTTGGTGTTAGATAATTTAGTTATTGTTGCAAAATTTCATCTATTGGTCTTTACTTGATCTCTTTGTTCTCAATTAATTCTTAATGTAGAATTTCTACTTCAAAAACCCATGGCCGATGAAATAGGATAAACTTTTTTCCTTGCTCTGTGCAACTGACCAGTATATCAGTTGCTTAATAGAATTTGTAGTTCTTAATCATTTCTAGCTTAATCATTTTTATTTTGTAATTCTTTTTGGCGATTTATGGGCTGCCATTTACTTATTCATTGCTGTTTGCTGATGTTATTTATATTGGTAATGCTACCTGATTGCTCCAACTCGTAAGATTTGGTAGCATGAGAAAAATTGTTTCCATCAGTAGTGGTACTTTTAATTGCTACTTGTGATCTGCATGCTTTGATATTTAAAAATTAATTGGTTACATGATTATATATTTTGACTTGATGTAGAATCAACATCATCAAAAGCTATTGGAGCCCATGGCCTCCTTGAACTCTCACCTAAAGTTGACAAGAAATGCATGCATGCACTATGAAGCCTTTCTGGACATTTTTACCAGATACTTGCTGCTTTTAGGTCATTAAAAGCAATTAAAAGGGACACAACCAACATAGCTATTGTCTATAAGACATAAACTTGTCCATATGTGTTTTCCTTAGTTCATAAAAGATTGACAAATTGGATGCTTTTGTTGTATCATCTAATATCAATAACCTTGTGACTTTCAGGTATCCTATTGTTCTAATAGGGATGTACAATGTGTGGGATCTGATATCAAGATACATTCCTCTCGTGAAAAAGATCAAGTTGGAGTCACGAAAGGGCCTCATGCTTGCAACCATATCCCGTTTATTGCTTATCCCTTGTTTTTTCTTCACTGCAAAGTACGGTGATAAAGGATGGATGATACTGCTGACATCCTTCTTGGGACTAACGAATGGTTACCTCACTGTTTGCGTCCTTACCTCAGCTCCCAAAGGCTACAAGGTTTGTTCACATCAAAGGCCCATGAAACACGGTGAAATTAAATTTATTTTATTATAAAAATTCTGGTTATTGGTTTTGTAGGGACCGGAGCAAAATGCATTGGGCAACTTGCTAGTGTTATGTCTCCTAGGCGGCATATTTTCTGGGGTTGCTCTTGGTTGGTTATGGCTTATTGGTTCCAACCAGAAGTTCTTCGGATAACATCTTCTTGATCATGATGAATATAGTCAAGTCCTTGCACTCAAATACCGAACTTCTCAAGTCCAGATGGAAATGAAACAGGAGCCATGAACCGCTTTTAAGGAGGATTTTTTTTTTGCAATGTTTCAGCAAAAACTTCATACATCAGCAAATATACTGTTTAGACATCCTTCCTTATAGCAGACAATTTCAGATTCCTGAATTTCACTTCTTGAACAAATCCCGTAATGTACTTAAAATATCAGCTTGTGAGGACTGATGATTAATCTGTGTTTTTGTGAACCCCACGTTTGTTAACCTTACTATCTTCGAGCAATTACTATTCTTTTAAATGATTAACTATTCAAGAAGTGTGACATGCCACACATTTCAATCTATCAACCTTCATACCATGGGGGTAGCAATGGGTTACAATGTTCTATAGTCATCATGGATCTTCATATAAAGCATAACTATTTTATCCTGTTAAAACATTCATCTCTCTCTACTTGTGATTCACTAGGGATACATTCATCTATGGTTCACCGGTATGAGCTGATGTAGTCTAATGTTGCAGTTCCTAGATTTGTGTTTGTGTCAGAGAGAGAGAGAGAGAGAGAGTGCCCCTAGTATGCATTGAGATCCCCTCTAGTATGCATAATCTCAAATCATCATGTGGGCTACAAGTTAGTAGTACCAGTTATGGGGCTGTTAGGCAGGGTATGAAATTTCCTCTAATATTTTTTTTTATTGGTAGATTACCCACTGATGAATTCATATAGAACCATTTATATAAGTATGATCCTCATTCATTAATAGTTAATAATCCACCAAGAAGAGAAATAGAGAAAAAAGTACTAAAGCGGACCTCAATGCAATAGCCTCTCTGATTCTATTGTAAGCATTTAGGTCCAATAAAATTGGGCTGAACTTACAATTATTGAATGCATACTATACACCCTGCAATTTGGCCCAACTTCTGAGTATCCAAATTCAATTTGAAGACATGAAAAGCTGTTGTTTGGAGACATTATTGAGATTCTTTTTTAACCCGAATGGTAACTTAAGTGATAACAGTGATGAACTGTAAATTTTTAGTTTTAGTGTGGATAGTCTACTTTTAATCGGATTGGGGAGAAGATTAGCCAACACGTTTGACTATAACACTAACTCGAACACGTTGAACAAAAAAAAATATATTTGAGATTCTTTTCCAACAGTGACCCCTTAACTAGAATCTCATTTCTTCATGAACAAATATTTGTCTCCATTTGATAATATCAACCACTTGAACTTAGAAACATATTATATTGTCTCAACCAAGAAAACAAGAAACATACTACATCAGCCACTTGGGGATGTATTTTTATTTTTGGACATTGTTTACATCCAAATATTTAAAATACAAAAAAAATTCATTATAACGGTAATATCACGTTAGCATTGTTATGTGTTATCATCAACTAATAATATGTAGATAAATAGAGAAGTAGATCTCACACAAGTCAATAACTACCTGTCTATGTAATCAGATAATTATCCACTCTTTTTTCATGTAAACCTATAACTATTCAAGTCGGGTTTACTTTACCCATTTAGGGTTTTATTATTGATTAGTGATTATATGTCATCAATATTGACATGATATCATCGTTATATTAAATATTCTCTCCTAAAATACGTCAAACGGACATATCCTTCAAATTAATTGTACGTAATTTATTACCCAAAAAAAAAAACAAGAATCGAGAGAATCAAGTACTTAGGTGTATTTAGATTTGGACCCACAAACCCTCTTACTATAAAAAATCTTTCATTTGATCGACAAATGAATATTTTGAAATGAGTGGATAAAAGACTACCCTTAAGCTCAGGGCAAGCTTTGTGCATATATAAGAAGAAAGGAACAAGTTAGAGTTAGCTGTATATAATGGACTAGTTGATCGGTACCTAGCATTTACTTGGTCTTCTAAGATTGGTTGGTCAGAAACATCTTAGTCTCTTTAACTTTCCATTTCTTACGTCTTTCTTATTTGCAAAGTGTTGACTTGTCGTTTTTTATTAAACGGCGTCATCACATAAACGGTGATATTTTCTAGCCCCGTTGTCCCTCTAGGTATATTAATGCGAATGACACTTTGCTCTCATAAGATTTTTAAAAATTTTACTTTGTCCCTTCGAGCATTAAAAATCTCACATTGTCTTGAATTTCTTTAGATGGAAGCAATGTGCCCCCTTTTGTCCTAAGAATAATGCTATCATTTAAAGAAATTCATGACATCTTTGAAGGATCGAAAATAAAGATTTTGAAATAGATGAAGTTTTATTAGTCCGCCATATAAAAAAAAAAAAAATGCAATCAATGCCCCGAAAAAGACTAGACCACTTGTGCAACCTAGCAAATTGGATATTTTGAATTGATTGTAAATTTCATCAAACATTAGAGTTTGATGTTAATTTAACAATCACAATGAAGTCACATCATTAAGTTAGCATGTTGTCTATCCTTAACCCTAATAGACTTTGTTAGAATTTGACATAATCTCTTTAATTGTCACAAATGAGAGTTTGTTGGGTCAGTTTAAGAGTCCTAATAAATCGGTATATTAGATATGTGATAAAAAAAAATAAAAAGATCAAATTGTATCTGAATAGGTATAGGTTATAGTATTTTATCCCTATAAATAGGGTTGAATATTATGTAATCAATTACCAGATGACCAGATTTTTAGTAAATAATATATCGATGAAGATTTTTGGTCTGTGGATGTAGATACGGTGTACCAAAGTGGGTACGTTGTATCAAATCACCTTATATATTTGTGTCATGTTTTTATTATTTTCCTTTCTTTGAATTTCTATTTTTCAACAAATATTATTTATATTAATTATTTGTTGTGCAAAAGCAACAACCGGTATCAAAGCTGCGTTCCAAAAAGTGGTATCAAAACTATGTTTCAACAAGTGGTATCAAAGGTAGATTGATGATCCTAATAGATCTAATCAGAGCTAGATTGATGATCTTAGTAGAACAATCAGAGTTAGACTGATGATCCGCGTGCAACGATCAAAATAAGTTGTTGGCGATTTAATGATTAAGTTGGTGTTCATGTTAAAGAAAACTCATTTGCCATGTATGTACGACATGGTGTAAAGATCAATTTCGTCCTCCGTACATTAAACACGTAATATTGAAAAATTTATTGATACGTATATTTGTTTGGATCCACAAGAAAAAATTTAAGTTGCTTCCTGATTATTTAGATTTCAAGAACTACCATATGTGTTGTTGAATATGTTTCTTCCGCGTTTTGGGCTCATAGAGTTAAAGTTGCGGTATTTCAATAGTTTGTGAGCTATTGACCTGATATAAACCCAATAATGATAATATAGTGTCTTGTAGGCTACGAGTCATTGGGCCATTGAAATCTCCCAAAAACAGCTAAAACGTGGGCAGAGATGTACAGATGATGCAAGTCAAGACGCAAGTTTTTGAAAGATAGAGAGGATTGTGGCGACTCAAAAGAGCAGGTTTGTACGTGGTACTTAAAAAAATTAATGGATTAGAATCAAGAGTGCTAAACCCCATGTTGGGTATGACCAAATTTGAAGAGTTTGGTTTAAGGAAGTCTGTTGGAATTTGACTCAAACTCTCTAATTGTCACGAAGAAGAGTTTGTTAGATAATTAATTTAAAAGTCTTAATAAATCATTGATAGGTTTATTAATGACCTAATCAAATAGGAAACAAATTAAAAGAGTTTTAATATATCATGAATAGGTATTTTAGGCATGTAATAAGAAACATAAAAATCAAATTGTATTTGAATAGATATGAGTTAAAGTATTTTATCCCTTTAAATATGTAGGAGTGTTCAAATTTATGATTATCCGCAAATTTTGATCCTACCCTATCTTACCGAACCTTACTGATCAGCTACTAGAAAGAATCAGGTAGGCCAACAAAAGATCATTTGGTATTCCACAAAAAATCAAGTAGGAATGCGAAATACCTACAAAATTTTCGTATTCTCACCCTACTCTACTCAATTTTTATATAATCCCTAAAAATTAAATTTAAAAATCTAGAAACCCTAATGTCTTAGTAATGTTTATGGCTTTCTTGTTGTGTTTTATTGTAATTGTTTATATATTATCGAATTTATTGTATTTTCTTTAGTGTTATTAGTTTATTGTGTAAGTTAATTTGTGTAGGTTACTTAATTAAATTATTAAAATAATCCAAAAATTAAGAACTAAAAAATATGTGTTCGCTCGATTTCTTACCCGATTGTTTTGGATGGAATTCGAATAGGAATAGTACACTTGATCGAGTAAGGTAGACCAAGAAAAAATTCTTCCGCAAATTATCGGGTAGGAAGATAGAATATCATAATTCTTACCAATAGGGTAGGGTGAACATCCTTATAAATAATAGGGTTGAGTATTATGTGATCCGTCATCAAATGACCAGTTTTCAGTGAATATTATATCGGATGTAAGTTTTTTGTCCATAGATGTAGGTATTGTGTACCAGGTGAGTATATTGTATCAAACCACGTTATATCTGTTAAGAAATATAGGGTTATTTTGTTTATTCATGGTAGAATAGTCTTTTACTTTCTCTTTGTTTAGCCTATATATAGTCTCTTTGTATTTAGGTTAAATTACTTCTTCGTATTCAATTGAATTATGCAGTATCAATAAAATTTTAGCCTCCTCTTTTCTTATCTTTTATATTTCTCTTTTATTAGATTGTTTAACATGGTATCAGAGCAAAGTTTCATGGGACAAGGCTTAATCTCAAACACAACTTACGCGGATCCAACTTCTGTTTTTTTTCGAAAAGGTATTCGTTTTGTTTTTGCAATCTGGTTTTTTTTTTTTTTTTGATTATGGCTACTAAAAAAGACGATTCGCTTCAGTCTGTGAGTGTGAGGTTGGATGGAAAGAATTATTCGTATTAGAGTTATGTGATGAGAAATTTTCTTAAGGATAAAAAGATATGGGGATATATTAGTGGAACTTCTATGAAACCTAATAATACTGATGCGGGTTATGCTGCTTTGATAGATGCCTGAGAAGCAGACAATGCAAAAATTATTACTTGGATTAACAACTTTGTTGAGCATTCTATAGGTACACAGTTGACAAAGTATGAGACAGCAAAGGAGGTTTGGGATCATCTGCAAAGGTTATTCACTCAATTAAATTTTGCAAAACAGTATCAATTGGAGAATGACATACGAGCTCTTTAGCAGAGGAATATGAGTATTCATGAATTTTATTCTGCTATGACAGATCTTTGGATCAATTGACTCTTACAGAATCGG